CTAGAGTAAAAGAAAAATTACGTAAAGCATAAATATATATATGTATATATAATTATATATGTATATTATTATTTATATCCAAAATTTGTGGATATAGCAGGACTTGTATCACATTCATTATCAACAATATGACTTTATCAGCAATGTCGATATTGTGATACGTATTTCATATCTATTTTATTAAATAGATATTGATGCCGCTAGTGTACGAGGATTTTCTACCGAGTGATGTCATGAAAAAGGGATGGGTGCTCTCATGGCATAAGAATATCTTAGTCCGGATCCTCATACGATCAACAGCGCTTTGACATCGAATGCTGATTGGTGAAAAACGGGTAATGGAGGTAAATTTTACCTCCACAACCGGCTTTTCACCAATCAGCGCTCTGTGTCAAAGCACTGTTATCTATATGAGGATCCGGGCTTATACTATGGATGTTCTCAGGTTTTATTTCTATACGGAGTAAATACATCGTTTTTTATTAAAAATCGTGCAATGTCACGTAGTAATATACAAATTACAAGATAATTGAAGTTATTTATGCTGTTTTAAATAATAAAATTATATAATGTAAAGGGTGATCATGGCCTCATTACTCGTAAATCGTGCAGTTAGTGATACTACGACACAGTTTTGTTCGTTAATCGAAAGACTACTTTTGTTAACTAGTACAAAACTCAGCAACAAGAAACAGATCAATGCGTGTTTAAATGATCTCAACGAACTAGATTACAGATGCCTCAATATTGTAAATAATGATGTAAGGAATATTTGATATTTTGTTGACTAATACAAAACACGTTGTACTAGTTGCATCTCAAACTATATTTTGTCATTTATTGAAATTATATTGTAATCTATTTCTAGGCAATATTATTATTGGTGAACCAACTTTGTGCAGTAGTTCTACCTACAGAAACATTTTTAGTTCAAAATGTTTGCAAATTTCTGTACAATTTAATTCATAGCAACATCAAGCTTCATGGTCGGACATTCGTAACTTGCAAACGATGGATTTTAGAAGCATTGGAGTTTTCTGACCCACTGGCACAAGTTGATGTATTAATTGCTATAAAAAGCTTTTTACATTTTGGTTATTTTGATGACATAAACCATGTTAGTATATGGCTTCTTTTTCAATAACAAACAGATTGTTAAATTAAATTATTATATCATTATATAAAATTAGGCAAATTATAAATTTAAGCAAACTGCTTGATATTTCAGCATGTACGTCTGTTACTTAAAGATAAGGGTTTGTTAATGAAGCATTTAAATCCATTATGTAACCCATGGTCTGAAATTAATTTCCATGCACTTGGATGTTTAGAAGAAATTGTAACAAACAAAAGTAACAATCATTGCTTATCAGATGAATTTACATATTTGATAAAAAATATAATTTTTAAAATTTTATCACTTCTACCATATCATAATGATGATAAGTTTTATTACAGTAAGGTATGTAATTTATTTTTTGTACAATTCAAAAGGTATATATACATACACATTTCATTGAGTGCTTGTACATTTATAGATCATAAATTTATGCTTGCACATTTTACATTGTATGATCATTGAAAAATTGATTCTTAAATCTCCTGATCTTATTGGAGAAATATTAGGAGTGGTGCAAGCGTTCCTATTTTATGGCATCAAAGGTTATTCAGTCACAAGGCCACAATTACTTCGTCCAGCTGCCATGAATCTCCCAGAACGTGTTCACATAGTTCCCAAATGCAAGAATCTTAAAAATCACAAAGCAAGATCTAGAAAAACACTAGCCAAAAAAAATACATCCGATTCAGGAAATAGTGCCATTCCAGAACACACAGTAATTTCCAAATATTCCAGTGATTCAGATACTTCCGATACAGAGATTAATAATTCTATCCACATTGATTCCAAAGTAAGATTGGGAGCTGTACGTTTATTGCAGATTCTAATAGAAATCACTCGGAGTAAAGAGATTTTCGGATACTGGCCACAAATCGTAGCTACTGGTTCACGAAACGACGCAAGAGTATTGACAAGAAGCATATTAGTTGAACCTGTGTCTAAAGTGCGACAGAATGTATTGTGTGCATTAACTGAATTGTTGATAGGTGCTAAACCATTTTTAATACACGCTGAGGATACTAATCATACCTCTTTCATCACATTTTTTGGCACAGTATGTTTAATGGTCAAGGAATTACATTTTACATTATCATTAATTTTGCTGGCTGAAAAAAATGTAGCTGTGTTAACGCACGCATTAAAATGCACAGCGGCTCTTGTACAGGGCACACCATACGAACGACTGAAACCAGGTTTGGCTACCAAATTAGTTAGGAATTGTAAGCCGCATATATTTCACAAAGGTACATTTTGCCTTTATTATTCTATTTAATTTTTAATTTATTACTTTCATTATAGTCAAGTTATTTTTCTAGATCCAACTGTACGAGTTGCAGCACTATCTATTTTTGAAGCATTTGCCTCAAGTGAACCTATAACGCAGGAAATATTAAATATATTAGCTAAGCAAACTGTGGGTGAAATAGGATCAGAAAGTTCACAGTTTGATACTAGTTCCATCAGTGACATTGGAACAGAAGAAGAGGAAATAGATGTCGAGGATATCGAAAATTCGACAAATAGCTGTAATGAGATTACATCAATATCAAAAGATGAAAATGCTTGTTTGCTGGTTCACGTTTGTTTACAAAATATATCTAATAAGGTATAAACGATACACATTATACTTTTTTTGCGCGATTTATATTTGAAGATTTTGTAATTAATTAAAGCAGTTGTCAGTTAAACTAAAAAAATTACGTTGTTCCATTTTAGTCAGTTAATACACCTGTACGACTTCAATCTTTAAAACTTATGGGCAGACTAGTATTTAATACAGGAAATCTTATATTTCCTCATTTGGAAAATGTGACTACGGCTTTAATTTCGGTTATGGAGGAAACAGAAAACCAAGTAATATTACACGCATGTCGAGTTTTAGAGATTATGTCTGGTTGCTTCGCAAATACTGAAACTTACAGCAATGGTATATTATTTTGGAACATTATATTTGAACCTATAATATCACTCGCCCAAACATCACGGACCATATTGCGAGAAGCTGCTTGCGATTGTCTAGGTAGCATCAGTGGAAATGTATTCACACAATTATCGGTAAGAACAATTGGAACGAAAAGGATATAATTATCCAAATTTTTATTTCATTTGTGAACTTATGAAATTCAAGCTAAATATTTTTCATGTCATCTCTAATATTTTGCTTTATTTTCATTTATATTTGCAGAGACAAAGAGTTATATTAATAATTACAATTCTATTTGGAGCAATTCGTGATGAAGAAAGTGCTGTAAGAGCAGCTGGCTTACGTGCATTAGGAATGTTGGTAACTTTACCGTCTTTGGAACACGATACCGGTTTTCTCATGGATCTGGCTGATATAGTTTGTTCAGCTTTTGAGGACAAAAATCTTGGTGTCCGTGTAAAAAGTGCTTGGGCATTAGCGAATTTGTGTGATTGTCTTTCCAGACAAAAGTTTGTTTTTTTCAGTCTTCCTTCTTTCATTATTTTCTTTGCGCGTGACATGTCTTCTCTATTTATATAAAAATATATCTTTTATCCAGACAGCATGAAGATGTGGAACCATTTCCTTTAGAAGATTTATTACCCAAACTGTATCATATAAGCATTAAGGCTACAAAAGATAATGATAAAGTGAAATGTAACGCCGTCAGAGCAATTGGAACTATTTTATATTTATGTCCACAGAAACACATACTTTCCGACACGGCAATAGGATTGGACGCACTTATCAAATGTGCCGTTTTAGGAAATGATATGAAAGTAAGAAAAAAGTTCTGATGATTTTATAATAATTATTATTATTATATTAATTTCCATAATTTATTTATGTATATATTTTTTAACTCAAAATAAATTTATTTATGATCAAACTTATTATCTCGATACTTGTGCATTAAATGTTTTATTATTTTGCGATGACGAAGTATGTAGCTGCAATAAATATTTCTTGATTTATTTAATAAAAATAAATCTTTTTTATTTATAACATTAGGTACGATGGAACGCTTGCCGAGCTTTAGGATTGGTTTTGAGCCACGATCCAGATGCGATATTGCCATCTTTTTGGAAAGTATGTACTTGAAAAAATGTGATTAGTGAATTTATCTTGTGTAAATGTGTAAAACTAGATATTTTTATAGGATCAAGTATTTCCAGCGCTTTTGACTTTGATATGCGATAGTCCTAATTTTAAAGTACGAACTAATGCCGCATGGGCATTGTCTTCATGTAATGACTACGGTAAATATACTGTAATGTTGTGGAAAAATATTGTATTAGCATTTGAAAATGCTCAACATGTACCAAGCTACGTTGAATATCCGCATCGAGATGCACTCATTCAGCAAGTAAGTGTGTTTTTCTTATAATACATAATAGTATTCTTGGAATATTATTGGTTATGTATTAATACAAAAAATATATACTTTTTAATTATTATTTTACAAGCAGAAAATATTTTTCAGTTGTGCCTTACTCTTAGTTGCGTGGCTGCCCATACAGAAAAATCCGAACTACAAACTCTTTGGATAGAGATTGGCGACCATTTAGAAGAAATTTCCAATTTCATGAAACAGTTTCAGGTATAGTGTGTTATATAAAATATAATTATTAAATCAAATATACAAGACGAAATTTTATAATTTGTATTGAAATGTATTGAAATTTTCTTGTAGGAGACTGTTTTACCTGAAAAGCTAGGAGATTTAATTAAGGCAAAAGTCCAATTAGCACAGCATGTGAAAAATGCACATTCTGTTGAAGAACGACAAATCGCTCAATCTTTGGCAAATATATTCGAGAAAACTAATCGCTATGACAATCTAGATGCCATTACCTCTACGATATAGAATTGTATATACAACTAAAATGATGAAGAAAAAAAATAAAGCAATGTAACATATTTTTTAGCATATTTTTTTCTACCAGCTATTTACTGCAATTTACAATTTTTATTAATAGAGAAAGCTTGATAAAACACATAATCAGTGGAATTAAAAATATATGTATAAATTAGTTATTTTAATATTGTTCAAAAAATCCATACAATATAAAATTGTATTATAATGATATATAATACATGATATATAACTTTAATTATGAATGATAATTGATACATTGCTTTAAAAAAATCTATCAATGTTCTAGTTTCCACTGAAATCTTCAGTGTGGTTCCACTATAATGCAAATCAAATTTAGAGTAATATTTCTTCATTAGGACTTTATGAATCAAAGCAGAAGTGAGTGCAGTCAATCATATTTCTATAGACTTTGAGTGTACTCTACATTGAGTGATTCAGTGAAAACTATATCAATCTCAAATTCAACAAGAGCTATTAGATCATTAATATACATGTCAAGTACCATCTTCACATTGAATATTTTCGCTTGATACTTCAGATTGTGTCTTTAACGTATTTTCTTGATTTTCTCCCACAGGTAATAATTCCTTTTCTGTCGCTGACATTACTTCACTTTCATTCATAGACACGTTCTTAGGACAACTGTCATTTTCTTCAGTTACTTTACTATTTTCTACAGTTTTAGTTTCTTCATCTGAACTGTCATCCTCACTATACTTTTCATTCATGACAGCATTGTCCTCCTTATTGTTAGCTTTCATAAATTTCTTCTGCTTACGTCCCTGCTTCTTCCTCAATCTCTTAGCACGTTTCTTTGCAGTTGCCTCCTCTGCCAATCTTCTATTCTCTTCCAACTTCTGATGATATTCGTCATCTAAAAGTTCCTATAATTTTGACAAAAGAAAATTATAATCAACAGAAAAAAAATGGGTGATTTTTAGGCAACTCTAGATGTATGTTATACAATAATCAATATAATAACCTTATATGCCTTTTCCTGAATAAATTTTTGTCGCGCATACTCCTTACGTCGTAGATGTCTATACACGTGAAATTCTCCACTACCTGCTCCAGCACTACTACCCATAACATTACGAACAAATTCTGGTACAGAAGGTGTATTCTTGGCCTTTGGACGTTCCGGTAGTATAACCGGTTTATCCTGTACAATTAAAACACAAATTATATAATACAATTCTGATTCAAATAATGCATAGATCAATAGATAAATACGGAAGCCTTCTTACAACGTTCTTCATTAATTTCATTAGTTTCAATCTTTGCAGATCCACGGCTGTTTTTGGCACTACAGGTTTTTCTTCATCCTTTTCCTTGTCGTCCGACATTTTTCCACTTCGTAGATACGAAGAAGTGAATTAAGTCGACAATGTAAATCTTTGTGATTCTGATTCTCAAAATAAACTTGTTGATTAGCACATCAATAACATACCGCGTCTTTAGAATATTCTAGTGCAATTTAGTACAGGATAAGAATAAAAAAACCTATGAATGTTCCTAAATTTATCAACTTTACTAGCGATTGAAGATTGTCATCTGCGTTCGCTGGTCAACAGTTTCTTTTTAATTAAGCTAATCACTTTCCGTAACAGTAAAAGACTTCGCACAATAAAAGGAACAGGGAACAGAGAATAAGAATTTCAACCTATCAGAAATTATGTATTGTGGAATATACAATTTCTAATAGGTTGAAATTCTTATTCTCTGTTCTCTGTTCCTTTTATTATGCGAAGCTCTTTACAGTAAGATTTTCGACCAATTGCTCGATTGTCAGAGTATATCCACACAACTTGGATAAACATATGTATACAGAAAATTATCCAATCACATTTTACGTGCGACTTCATAAGAGAAATTGGATAATTTTCTGTATGCATACATTTATGTGGCTATGCAAATTTGTGAATATATCCTTACGGTTATTGTTACGAAAAGTGTGTGACTAGCTTAAGTCAAGAGACGCAAATATAGACGCAGTTTCAAATGCGATTTCATGTGATACGGGCATTATGTTATAAGCTGCAGACTCAACAATTGAATGAGCTAGCTGCTCTGATGTTTCTTCTAGATCTAAATTTCTGATTGGATAGTTTAAAAGAATATATCAATACAGCGAAAGCTCACTCAACTATTAAGTCCATGCCCGTTGTGAGAGTAGTTTCAGACGGTTGGAGACATTTAGAAAGAAAAGAAACAGCTGAGATTTGAAAAATAGTTTTAATAAACGAGAAAGTGTAACCGTAATTTTTAAATAATTTGTGCAAAGTAAGTATGTACTTCATATGCCATAACAACAAACGTATGTTCTTATCTTTGCAATTTGATGGAATTATAAAAATGTTATTATATCATATAATGTCATTATATCACCATATATCATTATATCTATAACTTAACCTATATACGATTTTGTCATCATATAAAAGATGCTATATTTTACATAAAACTTCTACCAATTTTTATAATAATATAATGAATAATAATTTAATTATATTTAATTATAAGTATAATTAGATTTAAATTTTCTAATTAGCAACAAAATAAAATATAAAAATATCTTAATTTTCTACATTTTTTAGATTGACATATATATATATATATAATGGAAAATACAAATGATTTCATGGATGATTCAGTAATAGATGTTTCACCCTCCTTAATAGATGTTATTGATTTAACTAAGGAATCACCAAGTTCAGTTAGACCTTCAAGATCGCATCAAAGAAATGTTGAAAATATATCTTCTAGCAATAATGTAACCAGCAATTCAGATCATTGTAGAAGGCCTATATCTCCTATTGTTTTAGGAAATACACAAGCTACCCAAACGTGTGTACCTTATTGACTTCTTAACGAAAAGTAAATAGATTTATTTTAAGGCTAAAAATATATTTTTAGGAAAAATACTAAAAAGAAAGGAAGAGTTTCTCGGGCTATAGGCTCAAATGAAGTTTTGACTCTTGACAATACTATTGAAGAAGATAAAATATGTTATACAGTTCAATCAGATATTAAAGAACCAGTACCTCTTACATGCCCAATATGTTTTGAAGCATTATCTTCCAAACTAAAACCCTACACTACTCGTTGTGGACATCTGTTTTGCTCAGACTGTTTGCAGACATTCCTTCAGACAGCTAAAAAATGCCCAACTTGTAAAACAACTATAACTTTAAAATCTTGTACTCGTTTATATCTTTAAATATTGTAGAACATTACAAGCCGTTCCATATCTTTTGGTATTTCATTTTCTAACTATTTATATACACATAAATTGGCAATTGTAAATCTTCAATTTTGTTTTTATACATTAAAAAAACTTTTCACAGAAAGGTTTTTACAATATTTTATCATTTAAAACAACATGTAATATACATTCTATTAATTTGTATTTTATTCGGAAACTTATATCTAAATTCTAAACAAAATCATAATATATTCTTGTAATGAGAATTTTTAAGTACTTAATACCTTTATTTTTATAGACAGCTTCTTATGTACGATTATTCATAAATATCTATGATTTCTTATAAATTTTAACCATAAAGTTTACAAGAAATTATAGATATTTACGAATAATCGTATGTCTTGTATACATACGCACAAAATTAGAATATTAGTCATAAGTTCTTACACAAGTTTTACGAGAATACGTTACAAGCCTACTTTCTGCTTAGAATTGACTCATTACTCTGGACATAGAATTATAAATTATAATATTAAAAGAAGTGCTGAAAATTTTTTATTTATTAACCTATAAACAAATCTTAATTTTTAAGAGACAAGGCGATTATAAAATTGAGTTAGTTTCTTACTATTAATTAATTATAATATATTTTCAAAATAATAAATTATGTATTTTATGCTACAGTATTAAAATGTAATTAAAAGAGATTTAGTACGCCTTTTAATTGTCTTAATTTAATACAATTACATTCATAATTTAATATATAAGTGTACATGTTTTCTTATTTATACAATGACCCAAAATGTATATATTATTTGTTTATGTTATTTGAGTATGTAACCTTGTGATATCTCTCTTAAGAGAATAATTACTTCCCATTCTCTACTTAAACACAGTAAGGAAATCTTGTTTCAAATTAAAATCTACTTTGAAAAGATATGTATTCTTTTAACGTTTTCAAAGAAAAAGAAATATATAGACAATGTTCATGACAGATACAATATTATTTTTCATTGGAACTGTTGTAGGATTTTTAAGTGAGTAAATTACAGGATTTGTCTCAATCAATTTTTCTATCGTACAATTTTATCTGTATTACAAGTAAATATTCTTTATATAGTTGGAGTATGTTTTGAAAGATTAATTGTTATCTTGTAATAACAATGTATCTGTTACAGTTCAGTAGATGAGAATATTGGAATGCAGCCAGTACCAAGATAAATGACAGAACGAAATATAATCGATTCGAGTCTGTAAAGAGGTGTCTATATTAAAGGTTTTTATTAATAAACTCAGTCATTATTCACGGTGTACATAAATTTCTACCGCTATTTGATCTAGAGAAATAAAAATTTTCAGGATTTCACGTTTTTTTTTTCAAATCAATTAAAATTGAGCCAGCATCGAATAATTTTGAAATATAAAAATTAATAAATGACATGACAAAAAGGAAATATTAGTTCGTGGCATTTTTCCCATTAGATGGCATTAAAAAAACGCCACGAACTTTTTCCCACACCTAATAAGTTTTCAACTTTTACGCATTCTACCAGATGATAATTAACAAAATCTGTTATAAAAAAACGGATACATATCTGCTTGATGAATAATACAGTCACGATATAGAGGAAAAAATGACGCTATATACATTGTACATATATATATATAAAGGCAATTCGAAACGATTTGACATTGCAATCAAATTTGTCAGTTACCAAGAAGATCGGTGAAATTTTTTATAAATAGTTCTAAATATTATATATACATAAGCATACCATATATATTATACACTTCTACGATCTAAGAGCAACATGTATATTGTATTACATGTATGTAATATGTAATATATATTATATAATGCACAACATTATACAATATATATATATATATATATATATATATATATATGTACG